GGCTCATGATCCTGGCCATAAACAGAGACAGAGTATGAAACTGTACAAAATAACGTCAGGAGAAACCCCATGCAATATGACAACACTGTGAAAGATCCCTACATGCTTCATCCCTTGGAGAGGATGATAACTCAGAGTGTCTGGTCTGTCTCCAGCTTTGACTGGAAAATAACATGGTGAAATCCCCATGAAATCATAACTATTTATGTATAAAGCACCATAAAGGAATCAAACTAATTAGTTCAGGGCTAGGACCACATAGCCTCAGAGAGGTTTCATTGTTCTCTTTAGCAGAATTCCAATGATGGCTTTCACTGGGGATTCACTCAGATATTGCTGTGATGAGGGCCATAACACACACGTGAAAGAAAAGGAGAGAAAAGGTTCTCATATTTCTGAGACTTCATTATTTCTGCAAGCTACAGGAAAATACATTTGCAGGCATTCTACGAGGAGTTATAAATAAGGAAAATTAAACTACCATCGACTCAATGAGTACAGCCCATTTCATGAGATGTTTTCACTGCAAAAGCTCTCTGACTGGATAACTAGCAAAATTTGGTGATTTGAGGTGTGCGTCGCTGCTGATACGAGTAATTGGCAAAGGTGGAGGATATTATTTTAAAGAGACTGATTCATTCAAAAGCATTTAAGGAGCAGAATGAAGCTACACACACAAAATGAATCAACAAGAGTCTGCTTTAAAAAGTGTTGCCCTAGTACAGATTAAACTGGATTTTAGATCCTCTGGAATCTCAACCAGCTCCCCCTTAGAGTCGGGGGAAAGGCTTAATTTACTATATACTAAAGAAAAAAGGGATGGGATTGTTCCCTTCCTTGGTACTGTTGTTGGCAGTGGATGTTTTTATTTCCCCTACATCGTGTGAAAATCATGCTCTTCCAACCTAGGTGGTGTCTATTGCAGAAGAAAAACTACTTCTGCTGCAAAATGCCCAAGATAATCTTTTTATAAAGACCCTCCTGCTTGGATCTTGCTGTAGGGTCTGCTCTTAGCAGGTTGATGCTTTACCCTCAAATATATAAGCCTGATCAGGCACCCAAAGCTGACTGAGTAGGACTTGACACAGGCTACAAAACAAGTACTACGTTTGAATTCAAACCCAGAGCCCAGTCCAAGCTCTGAGGTTTTATGCAGTACATCACCCAATGAAATTGCCTTTTCCCCCTCCCCCCGTTTCAATTAGGAAGAACATTAGGTCAATCAGATAAAGCCACATTGGGAGGATTTCCTCTTTATGGCGCTTGCCTCTTCAATTATCTATAATGAACTTCCTCACAGCACTGCAAAGCTTTTTATATGCAAACGAATCCTGTTTTGGGTCTGCCGCAATCACGGCTTGTTAATGAACTTGAAACAAGTGTTATCGGAAAGGTTACAGCACCAGTGGTGGGGAGGGGTGGGATAAAGCTAGACAAGAAAGACCAGCCTGCAGAGCTGGGATTGGCCTGCAGGTACTATAGTGGACTATCTCCAACTACCATCCTCCAGCACCCTTCAGAGGCTTTTCTGTTTGACAGACATCAAGCAAAATGCCCACTCTTGGGAAATGGCTGCTCAGCAGCAGATAGGGCTTTCCCATCTTCCTGTCCTACTCATTCACTCTGCCAACACATCTCTCTCCCAACTCCTATAGCTGCGGAGGGAAAAAAATGAAGAAGATGCTGCCAAGGTTTTTTCTTACGCTAAGGGAGAGAGAGGGAACTGATTCAGAGGCCTCAGGACATCTTGGGTTGGTGTACGGGAGGATTCAGGGGGTGTTGAAGACGTGCAGTCCTAAATGGTATGTAAACATGGTATCTGCTGGTGTGATCAGAACTGGAAACTCTCACTCATGCTTTAATATAGCCTAGACCACCTCCTTCCCCTGCCTTCTGGGTTTTTAAAGGTCTAAGTCACCCAGGGTTAAATTATGCCTCACTGTCTCATCCTGACTAGCTACTTAACCCTGCAGCTAGCCTTAACGTTGGTGTGCCTTGATAGGGTAGGACCATTGGACTCAAGGTTGAAAAAACTTCCTAGACTGTCAAGACAAACACTTCTATGACACTTTAACCATTGTGTTTCATCATTAGTAGTTCCCTGGGGACATTTCATCATGGGACAGGATAACAGCAAGAGCAAAGAGTGTTGGAACATGGTGTAGCTCCTCAAGAGCTCTTGGGGGTCAGACACTGTGTATTTCCACACTTACTGTGTCTTATGCATGATGGGGCATAGGGCAACTTCCACTGCTCATGTACTCAGCTTCCTGAGGCCTCCTCACACATGTCGGTTTGTTGAAGTGCTGCTCAGCACCAGAATCTCCAAGACTGCAGAGAATCACTGGTAAAGCTCATCCTTGCAACACAGTACCATGTGGGCTTGCCATCCTTACGCCATCCAGTCGGGTTAATGTGATGACCTTTTAAGCCTTAGTCCTTGATCACACATGTTAAGCAAAGCCTTGCGCCAGATTAGCACAGATTGCCACCAGATCCAAGATGATTCATCTCCATCCAGCTCCAGTGACTCTGTGCCTGGTTATCCTGGTTCCAGTGTTAGCCTGGGCAGTGCCAGTTGAAGTCCATCAGCAGCTGTTAAGTACCTACACCATTAGCATTACCCTATACGTGCAGATGAGAAATTACATTGCCCAAAAGGGTTCTTCAGTCTGGCATCTCTTCTGGGACAGACAGTCCCTGGTTTTGAACTGAGGAAGGCTTCTAGACTTCACTCCAGTGATGCATTGGGTGGCTACTGGATTTCCTTCCTGCCCCTGACCATGGATTGGCTGACACCCACAGTGTGATGATTGATGGCTCTTGTAATTCTATTCCTGGTTAGTGTATCTGCAGATGTTACATGTCTAATCCATTTCTTTATCTTCCTAAGCTATTTGCTTCAGTAAGATGCTTCTACCATCTGCTCTAACGAGCTCCCAGGCTCTTATAAGCCATAAATTCCACTTTTGAGTCTTTCAGTCCCTTTCCTTACTTACCAGCCCTGGATCAGTCATTTTCCTCCTGCCATCCCTTCCCCACACCTACAGATAAAGCTTACATCATTATGTAAAGTTCCCTGTCTCTGCTTGCACCAATTGGACCTGGCTTTAATGTTGGGTAAGACAGGCTGAAATGGTGTTGCTCTCTGGACTGGACAGGGTGGCTGCACCATCACAATACCGTGGTGGTTTACAGAGGGCAGGCAATGTGCCAAATACAATGTAGAGAAGAAAAAGAGGAGGAAGGCTTTCTCTTGGCATCTAGGAGTTGAAAAGACTTAAGAGAGGGGACAGCCAGGCAGGTGATCAAGATAGCATGGTCTACGCATATGGCATCTTTCTGTTTTGTAACCTGTTGTAGTGGGTTTTTTTGGGATCTCATTTTAAATCAAACTGCCTTAATAACCACAGGCACCAGTACAGGTTGGGGGTTGACCTGCTGGAAATCAGCCCTGCAGAGAAGGACCTGGGAGTGCTGGTGGATGACCACTTGACAGTGAGCCCTTGTGTCCAGGAAGTCAAATAGCATCCTGAGGCGCATTAAGAAGAGTGTGGCCAGCAGGTCAAGGGAGGTTCTTCTCCCCTTCTACTCTGCCCTGGTGAGGCCACATCTGGAGTATTGTGTCCAGTTCTGGGCCCCCCAGTTCAAGAGAGACAGGGATCTTCCAGAGAGAGTCCAGCAAAAGATGATTACAAAGATGATTAAGGGGCTGGAGCATCTTTCTGATGAGGAAAGACTGAGAGATCTGGGTCTGTTCAGTCTGGAGAAAAGAAGACTGAGAGGGGACCTTATCAATGTTTATTAATATCTAAAGGGTGGGTGTCAAGAGGATGGGGCCAGACTCTTTTCAGTGGTGGCCAGTGACAGGACAAGGGGTAACGGGCACAAACTGGAAAACAAGAAGTTCAACCTAAACGTAAGGAAATACTTCTTTCCTGTGAGGGTGCCAGAGCCCTGGGACAGGCTGCCCAGAGAGGGTGTGGAGTCTCCATCTCTGGAGATGGTCCTGGGGTTCTGTGATTCTGGGGTTCTGTGATTCTGGGGTTCTGTGATTCTGGGGTTCTGTGATTCTGGGGTTCTGTGATTCTGGGGTTCTGTGATTCTGGGGTTCTGTGATTCTGTGATTCTGTGCCTTGGATTAGCCAGGTGAATGCTGCAGTAATTTCCTAAAGAGCTTTCAGTTTCCTAGAATACATGAATTTGACATCTTGCAATTGTCTGGTTGTGCTACAAAGAAGCAATTCATTGCTACTCTAAATAAAGCTGTGCAACTTAATGAGACTTTGAATATAGCCTTCAGCATCTCATCGCAGCTTTGGGTGTCTAGACCTCTACCCATGTGAGGGACCCACCAAGAGGTAACGGATTCACATCATCTCCTTTTGTGAAATGGTTCCAAGCCTTTTCAAGGGATCTCCACATACTGTGTAACAGTTGTTTCTTGGGAGCTGGATTTGTCTGTAATAAATATTCTGTCCCCTTCAATACCGAAACCAGCTCTCTTTTTAACAGCCTGGACTCTCTAGTTTATGTCTTGCTGGAGCTTTGCCTTTTGTACAATGGTGAGTTGGCTGTTGGAAAGGCAAGGAATTAGGCTTAGATTTTTGCTTTATTCACTTCTCGTGTCATAGCATTGAGATTGTGATAAGTCCCTGGACAGGACATGATTGCTTTCCCACTACCTGATTAAGAGAGCAGGTATTAAAAAGCACCAGAGGTAGCTTCCTTGGGTCCTGAAGGCTGAAAGTCTGTAGTGTGAACAGGAGAGATAGGAAAGGATGGTGTGTAAAATAAATCCGTCCTCACCTGTTTATCTGAGCCTTACTGGTAATGCTTCTTGCATATTCTTGTAATAGGCTGAGACCCAGGGAGATGCAAAAGCTTTGTAATCGGTTGAAGTGTAGCATGAATTGAGAAGGTTGAGAAGCATCACAAGACTCCACCTGGGGCTGGGAAACCTGTGTGCTTATTTGGTGTATTGTCTCCTTTCTCCCCAGGACTGTCCTCAGCTGCTGCAGGCAGAAAAGATCCTCGTGCCGGTGGAAGTGATCAAGCCAATCACACTGAAGGCCAAGAACTTGCCCCAGCCGCAGTCAGGCCAGCGAGGCTACGAGTGCATCTTGAACATCCAGAGCAATGAACAGCGAGTGCCTGCCTTGAGATTCAACAGCTCCAGTGTGCAGTGCCAGAACACTTCGGTGAGCAAGCCCTCCATGCCCTAGAGAGGTACAAGGGCCAAGGAGGACCAGAAGTGCCTACAGCACTGTCCCAATGGGATCTGGGTTGTGTTGCAGATGTTTTTTCCTTATTACCTACCTGATTCCAGCTACAGTCAAGGAAAGGCTGATTGGTAGCTTGCAAACTGCCTTTTTTGCTCTTTAGGCTGACTGATGTCACCACACAACAGTTGCATCTGCCCTTGGATCCCAGCATTTGGCCTTGCTGGAGTACCTTAGCCATGACCCATAGGTATTAGTATCAGCTTAACCTGCCCATATCCTCATAGTGCCACATCCTTTTGTGCATTCAGAAGGGTTTCCAAAGGGAGGAGTGTTCATGTCAACATGAAGAGTTAAGGTTATTACGTGGAGTTTTGGTGACAGGATGTATAAAATCCCATATAAACAATCTGATGGATGCCAGCATGCAGTGGGTCCAAAGAAGGGTGAGATGCTGAAGGCTTCCTCCAGCCATTGACTCATGGCATGACTTTTGGTTAGTCCCTTTGCCTTTACCTACCTCCACTTTTCCATCTGCAGAGCAGGACCAGTAAACCCTCTTCCAGGGAACCTGCGTGAGTGATGGTGGTGGTGTCAAACACTAGGACCTGCCAGAAAACATGCATAGGTGTAATGGTGGTCTCCTAGCACTGCTTCTCCAGAGGTTTCTCCATGAGATTCATGACTCCCAGACAAGTGTTTGAGTCATTCTCGTTGCTGCTACTACTAGATGATTTATTAGTAAAAGAGCTAATTACAGGTTTTAGCCACTTCACTGCAGCTCTGCTGCTCCATGCTGGGCAGCACTTGTTAAAATCCGTCACAACATATTCTGCTGCATTAAGCAGCACGCTGAAGATTACAGGCAGTTCACACATTTTACGATCTGTTGCAAATAAACAACTTCCCAATGACACTCTCATAGTTGTTCCTTTGTCCTCCACTCACCCTCCCTCTGATTTTTATTACTAGTTAGTGGTCTGTGAGTATCCAGGTTTGAAGTTGCACATAAGAAGGCATTGCACTTAAAAATATATATATATTTTATATTTTACAACAGTGAAAGCCTGCAGATAAAGGGTATTATGTGGATGTAGATAGTCTATATATCTGTCCAAAAAGTCTTAGCAGGGAAGACAGCAGCCACCTTTTGGAGTTGTGAATTTTCTGGCATACATAGGCATCGTCATGAGGTATCTCAGCATGATTTTAAGCACAGTTTGACTGAGTCGGGGACTGACTACCTCAGCAGTCCTGAAGAGCCTCTCTCAGCATCTCAGTTTGTGTTATCCCATAAATAAACCTGGTTTTGAGAGGTAACAATTATTATTTCCATACTCCCTGCATGCTCCAAAAAGCTGATAGTGCCTAGGACCAGAGAAGTGGGCTCCTATGAATCCCCAGATGCGTTTGTTCATGGGATGCCTGAGTGCTGCCACAACACTGTGTGGATTTTAATGTTTGTTTTGATGCCAGGACACTCAAGGCTACTCCAGAGCTATGCGGATTGGCAGGGTTGTGTCTCAGGCTAATGTTCATCCCATGATCTTGCTGTTGTGTGGTGGTTGTAGGACACCTGTACCATATTTGGTGGTGACTCAGGTGGACCTCTCTCTTCTTCAAGAAAAGGGGCATATACTGGAATAAACTCATTTTTTTTTCTATGCTTTTCTCTACCTCCTTTCTCCCTCTCCCTTTCCTTCCCCTCTTCGTCTCCTTATCTTTCCTTCTCTTTCCTTCTCTTTTCTTCTCTTTCTTTTTCTTCCCTTTTCTTTTGAAGGCACTTTGACTTTCTGATGCAAGTTCTTTTTTTTTAGTTTTTTATTTTTCTAAGAAATGTTATTTCATTGTTGCTCTGAATTTGCCAGACGCTGAGAGAAAGAGATGTGGAAGGGAGAGCCAGACAAAAGAAAGAAACATTCACACAAATACAAAAAGGGAACAGAGAAACCTCGTCTCTGTTTGAGCAGGTGGCAGAGGACACAGACAATAGGGAAGGAGTGCTGTAGATATGTCTCCATCATGATTATTTCCTTTCCTACCAGAATTAGCATTCAGTCTGGAGCCACTGCGATACAATGAGCCTCTGCTCCAAGGGTCACCTGGCTTTAGAAACAGCCGTATGAGCTTGTTTGCAAATTGAATCAGCCCCCTTCGACAGAGTATTTTACTCAGCAGAGTTGCTGGATGAGACACTGAATGAAGCACCTGCATTGCAGGCTTGGAGAAGGTCCAAAGGAGGGTGGGAGGATGAGTTGTGATGGTGTGTCCCTGAAGGGATGCTATCCTGCTAGCAGATCTTTCTGTCGATGAGGCATGCTAGACTAAGCAATCATTCTTGGCTTGTGTTCCTTCGAAAGCTTCAAGATCTACCCCCCTCCCATCAAACATTAGGCACCGATGAGCTGAAATTCATCTCTTGCAGAATAACTTCTGCAAAATGCAGGAGTTTTCCTGCTTTCACATAAGATAGGATCAGGAAAAAGCCTTAACCCTTGCTCTCCACTGCCTGGTCCCTCAGGATTTATACCAGGGTAACTGAGATCAGAACCATCTTAAGCAGGCGCTTTTCTAAGTGACTCCAACTTCAGTTAAGAGATGTGATAAGGACACCCAGGTGGGACCAGCCTATCTGACAGTCTGTCAGCCATGTCATATCCAGTACTGATGCTGTCTAGGTGCTCAGTCCAGTCATCAGCCACCTCTGTCTCTCCTCTGTCTTTCCCAGAGATATTTCATTTGATAACAACAATAAGTCACTGCAGCCAGTATGCTTCAGGACAATTATTGTTCTTGTCAAGTGGTTTGAGACTCAGCTCTGGGCTTTGTCCTCTTATCACACCACCCAAGGCACGCAATTATCACTCAGAGAGACCCTGCCTGCCATTCCTTATTGCACTTATGATAGCTCTACCGACAGTCTGGACATAGAGTGATGGGAGGAAATGGAAAAGAGGAGAGCTAAGGAGGCATATAAATAAGCAAGTAAAAACATCAGCAGAACTGGCTGAAATTTCTAGATCTATTGGAGTAAGAGAGCAATTTCCCCAGTGGAAAGCAGTGGGATCCCCAACACTTGCAATCAGCCCAATATTAGCAGCCTTTGGCATGAGGAATAGGGATGTGGGTGAGGGATGACCCACCTGACCATGCCATGATCATTGCTATTACCTGCTTCAATGACTAAGCCCACATTCTTGCTTTGTGTAAGCCTGCCCACTGCCTGGCCTTGGCACACACAGGCAGCACACATCGATTTCTAGCAGTAAAATCCTTGCTGATAATTTGCCTCAAATCTTTCACAGGTCTGTGTGTCATGAGATCCGAGATAGTAGAGCTGAAAGTGCTGTGTCACTTCGGGATAGGAAAAGCAAATATGTTGTATTTGTCACATCGTTGCGCTTGACTCTGTGGTGTGGTTCAAAAGTGGAGTGTGTGATAAAAAACCCCAAACAAACAGAGCTGGGGAAAAAATAGGAGCTATTCACAGAAATCAAGGGAAAACATGCTTATGGGTGGCCAAAGGAAGACGAGCAAAGAACTGTGAGATGTACATACAGGTCTCATTTATTATGATGCGTTACAGAATCACAGAATTGCCTTGATATGAAAAGACCTTTAAGGTCATTGAATCCAATCATGAACCCAACACTGACAAGTCCCCAACTAACCCACGTCCCTTAGCACTATGTCTACATGACTCTTCAGTCCCTCCAGGGATGGGAACTCCACCACTGCCCTGGGCAACCCTTTCCAATGCCTGAGAACCCTTTCAGGAGAGAAATTCTTCCTCACATCCAATCTCAACTGCCCTTGGTGCAACTTGAGGCCATTTCCTCTTGTCCTGTCACTTGTTCCTTGGTTGAATTGGCTGCCCCTTATTATTATTAGTTACCTACACTCAAATATCACAAATATCTATATTCAGATATCACAGATTTGGCACATTTATACTTGATATGTACTCTATTGTCTTGGGTGATACCCAAACATAGAAATTCAGTCCTGGCTCTGGGAAGCAAAGAGTTCAAGGACATGGGATGACTGTGGGCAAGAAGTTTTCTGCTTACAGTATGTGGCTGGAAAATTGATGCAAAGAGGGATTAAATGATTTGCACAGGATCATGCAAGGAGTTGGTGGCAGAGCCAGATACAGGAATCAATCCCAGGCTTGAGCTCTAATCACAAGAATTGGTTTTTGTGCTGTCAGGGAAAACAGATTAACACTAAAATACTACTAAAATGCTGTTTGTTTGTAGATTTTTCCCCACTATTGGATGTGGTCAAGGTACAAGGATGAAATATCATGTAACTGCTCTTGGTTTATCAACCTACATGTGCACAAGCCAAACTACCAAAGAGCTTTACCTGGCATTGCAGCATCTCAGCAGGATGCAGCAAGAAGTCAAGCATGGCTATGGATTTGCACAAACCACATGGCTCAGAGGTCTGTGAGGTTGAATTCCTCTAATGCAGGGTGTCTATAGTAACGGCATACCCAGAGGAGCCAGGAATTTGCAGATTTCTGGGGGAACAAAAATAAAATAATAATAAAAAATCTTTCCACTAAAGCAGCTGATGTTTGCATAGTTGTAGAACTCATAGTTGTGATTTTGCAGCCATCCTCTTGGCCTGAGGTTGGTGAACTTCCAGTAGTCAAATAGTTAATGTGTTTATAGTAGTTTGTGTACAATATGTTAAACCACTAACAACACCGGAAAATGGACAAATGTTGTGATGTGTTACTCCAAGTTGCAGGAGTATCTGATACTAATGAAGAAACAAAGAGCTGGTACCTGGGAGTTTAAAACACACTGTGCTCTTCCTGTGGATTACAACAGCTCCTTCTAGCAGCTTTTTAGCATTTCCTGATGAGAGCCAATCTACCTTTCTGGAAGGACAGGCTCTCTTTCTCAGTTTGGGCCTCTAAATTGCCTGTAATTTTCTGCTTTGATTTGATTTGCATGCTGGGAATCCAGATTTTGCAGACTGAAGGAAGGGTCAGATTTACAACTTTTCAGCAGTTTTGCCTGTGCTGGAGAAAGTTGTGCGTGGCAATACATACATACAAACCCTAATGGTATGAGTGCTCTTAGCAGGAGTGTCCAGGAAGCTCTACTGTTAATCCTGGAGATCGATACACCATCCCTTTTTTCTACTCTGAAACATATTTCCATCTTATTGTTACAGCTGAGCGAATCCTTTTCAAAGACTCCTATTGAGTTCAGTAGGCTTTGAACAGGGGTCACAATGAGTTAGCAGCTCCTGTGGTCTGAAGAGGATGGAGCATTTACTCGCTGTTACTTTGCAAATTGCTCTGTTTCACCGCCGTGCAACCCACGAGCTGTCTGAGAAGGCTGGGCATGAAGAACATCCTTGTTCCATCCCCCAGCTGGTTTCATCCTTGGAGTTCTTCCATGGGGATCCTGTTATTTATTCCCTCGTATCTGTTTCAAGTTCTGGATCAAATCTGTTGAGTTAACAAGTCTAATATGTGTTTGCCCTCGGTGCTGCAGACAGATAAGATCTAAAATCCCAGCTGGGCTCTTGCTGCTGGCGCTCGGATCCTCAGTGGGGTGAAAGGCTCTGGGGGAATCCAGCTGCCTGTCCCTTGGCAGCCCTCTGCTAACAGCTAAATCCCAAGACACACACACACACACACACACACACACGCGGGGCTCTGCTGAGGCAGGAAATAACACATTCTGAAGCACCTACAAACTCAACTTCTGACTTCAGGGTGACCAGTGGTTCTGTATCTATGCTCTTTCCCATTCCCAATCAGCAATTGCAAAGTGCTGTGCAAAGCAGGCATTTTCAAAGCTCCTCAGCAGCAGAAGATTAATTATTCTCTACTTTTCAGGCACTTTCCTTCCCAATCCTGTCTCCCCGTTCTTGCTCCTAGCTCCGAAAAGCTGTGAAAAGTCAATGTTGTGAGTCCAAGCAGCTCTGCATCATCTTGCATCTCGCTGGCAGTGACACCGAGATATGTCATAAAAATGCTAATACTGAATAAAACTGGCTGGTACAGCCCTACTGCAAAGGACTCTGCTAACCTGCAGCTGCTCTTTACTTCCATGGTAACCACAAAGCTTCTACCCATAAATAGCCTACAACTAGATCATAATCACAGGGTTTTACAGATTAGTGGCTAATTGTGTTTAGTTTGTCCAAAGAGAAATTACTGTGCAACTAGTACTCACTCTGCCACAATGGACAGAAATCCCTATATACAATTTACTCTGCAATTATATGGTAATTAACAGGTACAGGAAAACCTGCCTCTAAAGACTCAGAGCTTTGATATCTCTGTGGAAAACCATGCTGAGATTTTAAGTGGTGGGGAACACTTTTGTGGTCTCTAAGACTTACTCAACCAAATGAGATGGCTTATTGAATTGTATTTAATCTTGTAGTGGGGAAAACACTTTTTTCTTTAAAAGTGGGAGTTTGTCCCACTGTAGATCCCAGTGAAGTGGAAGATTCATGATGGGTAAATCCTTATGTGTGCTGTGGTCAGTAATAGTAGCAAACATGAAATATCTCTCCCCTTCTTGCCTTGTTCCCATTCTATCCTTTAAGCAACCATCTCCTCTCCCTTTATGAGGCTTTTTGCCTTTTGGTGGAGTGTTGGATGGAAGATGTTGATGGAGGTGGACAGTGGGATCTGATAGGCTGAACCCTATGTGAACTGGCTTATGGTAAACCAAAATCAAGCTGAAAAAATACACTAAGCACCATATGTCAGAGATCTCTCCAAGTGGAAAGGGTCTCCAGAGATCAGCTTCCATTTACTTCGTTAAGGCCAGATCTCTGTGCCTTGGCTGTGCCTGACAAGTGTTTACTTAAGTCTGTCCAACTGTCTCAGAAGATTTCTATGGCTTTCTTAATACATATTTGCTGGAAACTGGATACCCTCTACTCCAGCTGAAGCTTTTCCTGGTTCTGAGTAGGGAAAAATAATTGCCTCCTGAGGCTTACATATTTAAAAAAATCTATCTAGTACATACCCAAATTAGATTTGTTTGGTTTTTTGGCAGCAATATGACATTGTTGATTCACAGTCTGTGATCTTCAGTAGTCCCCAGACCCTTTCCTGCAGCACTGGCCAGTCCCTCAAATTTCATATTTGTTTGCATTGATTCCTCCTACCAAAGAATACCCGGTACTTGACTGTATTGAATTTCACTTTGTTGATTTTGGCTGGGTTCTACAATTTGTAGAGTGTGTTTTGGATTCTCAACACTCCTTTTGGATGTTCTTACACCTTTTCTCAGTGTGGTGTCATTTGTGAAATCTGTTGTCTATCACCCAAGTCAGTAGTGAAAATACTGAATAATTTCAGACCCAGGACAATACTCCATTTGAAAGATCCTCCCAGCCTGACATTGAATTATTTAACTTAATTTTTTTGGCAGCTTTTGCATATACCTTATGGTGCCTTCTTTTAGGTCATATTTCCTTAGTTTGTTTATGGGAATCTCCTGTAGGACAGTAGCAAATACTCTACTGAAATCAAGATAAATCACATCTGCTGCCTCCCCTTTATCCACAAAGCCATTAAGCCTGTCAAAAAGGAAATTAGATTGAGTTGACACAATTTGTTCTTGACAAATCTATGCTGGCTGATTTTTATCACCTTATCATCTTGCAGGTGCTTATAAATTGATTGTTTAATAATTTGATGTACTTTCTTTCTGGGAAGCCAAGTTAGGCTGACAGGTCTATAATTACACAGAACCTTAATTTTCCCCTTTTTTAAGATATTTCATACAGACCTGTTCCCTGCTTTCTGAGACATCACTCAGCTTTCAAGCGTTCTTCAAAATGTCAGTAGTGTAGATAACCTCACGTATATGCTGAGCATCTATGGAATACACAGCAGAGGTGTATTTGGATGGTAGACCTACAATGCATAATGTTCACCTTAGAGGTGCACCTGAGAGTTGACAGATTTCTCTTCAGACCTGTGTTCAACACCTAGAAGGTAGATTTCCAACACAAGCCCCATCACAAGTAAATACACTTAAATGATGGAATATTCACCCAACAGCTAAGTAGGCCTTTGAGAGGGGCACAGGTTGCTCTACTGAGAACCACAACTTTAAGAGCATCCCGTGGATTTCTGACAGGTAATGGTGATTAGGGAGGTAGGTGACAGCTCCATTTCTCTTCCTCAAAACTTGTGGCACTACCTCTTGCCCCATCCAGTTCTATCCCATCCCCTCCCCACCTCTGAGCATCATGTAAATCTGAGTTTGTTTGTTTGTTTATTTGTTTTTTCCTCTTCCACTTCTAGTATTCATACGAAGGGATGGACATTAACAGCCTGCCAGTGGAGCTGACGGTCGTGTGGAATGGGAATTTCAACATTGACAACCCAGCACAGAACAAAGGTAAAGAGTTATTTCAACTTGTCCTTGGAAGCGGTAACCTTAGCAACGGGCCACATCGCTCCCTACACTTATCAAAGCCACCACCATCTCCCCGTGCTGTCTGGTGCATACTTGTTCTCTGCACTCTGAAAATTAACATTTTTTTTGTGTATGCGCTTTGTGTTCCCCCCCCTCCACTTCTCTCTTTGCACCCGAGAAATACAATTCTCCCTCCCACTTGTCTCTCTT